TCGCATACCTTTGGCCCGACTGCACGATGGATTCGCTGTCTCAGCGGGCGAAACATTTGATGGCCTCGACCCCCTGTGCTCCAAGGGAAGATCAGCGCCCACAGGAGACCTGGGCGTTCAGCTGCAGATACTGCTTTTCCATCCACCGTGACGTAGAAACCGACATGGTTAGTCTCGGGAACTGCTCCACTTGCGAGCTCGGGAAGGCTCTCTCTTTACCCGGGGGCGTCTCAAGGCCGCGGCGCTGCCCATCCAGTCACTGTCGCCGCCGTCGTAAAAGGCAAGGTGATATCGCGAAGAACCCGGCGCACGATCTTGCAGGAGCCGTCCGCACCTCGCTCTGACCTCGGCAATGTGACTCCACCCACAAGCAAGATAAGCACCTCTTTCCCATCCACGCAGGGTAAAGAAATACTCGTAAACGCCCTTGCGCTTCCTCTTGGAGCCCCCACAGCCCATGTCGAACATGTCGTTCGCAATATGGCTGACATCTCTGGCCTGGCATCGGCTCAAGAGCATTCTGACGAGATCGGCTTGAGTCGGTGGGCGGAGAAACTGGTCCATGCATGGTCCACACAAGAACTTCCAATTCTGTAGATTGGTCACTTCGCCCAGGTCAATGCAAGCCGTCCGCCCTGCCGACCATGCGCCGCTGTCATGCACCACGCTCACTCGTGCTACTTCTTGAGGCCCATGAACAGGCCGTCGCTGAAAAGTTCGTTGCTGCTCGTTCTCCTGGCCAGCCGAACAGGTGCCCCCGCCCCGTGCCTTCTGGCAATAGAGCACGGCCTGCCCAGGCACACGGTCTCGAGCTTCGGTAGCAGCCTGCGATGTGAGCCCCCATCCAACTCGGCTGATGCGCATGATGTCGCCGGTGCCCGAGCCGTCAATGCAGGCTATTCGACATCGATTCTCTCCTTGGCGATGACTCTGGGGCCCGAAGTCGCCGCGGCCCAGCAGCTTCCGTCCCGCGCACCCAAGTCGGAGGATGCCGCGGTAGAAATCCCCGTAGCCAGAAGACCTCTGCGTCGGTGCCCTGGTGAATATCTCAGAGGGATACCTTGCAAATGCTCTGCGACTTGGCCACCGCTTGAATGGACAAGCTGTCGTTCGCCTGTAACTCGTAGATCTCGTGCTCGAGAACGTCTGGCGCCTTACAACATCGCGAGCATATCCCGTCGGTCTGGCGACCTGCTGCCTTGCGCCGATCGCACATCCATATCGCCCCTCAGCCACGCGCCTCAAGCGCACCTGTCCACCGCGCCCAATCTGCTGCCCGCAATCATTATTGTAGGCCACGTTCGAGCACGACCGTGCCCACGCCGCGCTGCACGCCCCTGCCGCAGTAGCGACGCGTAGCTCTCTCCCAAAATCGTCGGTTCATGCCCTTGGCGATGGCCTTCGCAATGCCCCTGGAATCCGACACTTCCCCACCTAGAGATTGCCCGCGGCCTGCCCCTCCTTCCCCCCTCTCGTCGGGATCATGAGGTATCCAGACAGTTTGTTGCAATGACAAAACCAGTGCCCCCATGGTCCACTTGAACTTGTTGTAGTGTTTGTAATATTCAACTTGCAGCGTCTTCTCATCGCCTGGAAGCGCTGGATTATATCTCCCCCATCCTCGTCGCAAACGATCGCGCGCCGGTGCATCTCGCCGCCGCATCTGCATCCACTCGCGGACCCGACGTTGCAGGCCGGCTGTGGCCAGTCCGTTGTCTCAGGAGAATGGCATTGATCGGAGATGCGAACCTGCCACCTGCAATGAAACCAACCGCGTCGGCTGCCCGGCCTCAGTTCGCGGGCAACGCCGACCTGCTGGATGCAATCACTTGAAACTCCAAGCGCGCCTAAACCAAGATATCAGCTGCGACGGGGAGCCGCCCCTGGAATTACTCTGGAAGCACTTCAACTGCCGCGCGAAGATCGTCTGCAAACCCTCTCGCTTTAGTCAGGGGCGCTGCATTGTGGGCGATGTCCAAGATGATACCCATCTGTAATATGTATATATACATATATATACACATATACACATATATATACATATGTATATGTAGATATACATTATGGTGCATGCCGCATGACTGGCCGTCGCACAGCATGCCGCGATGCCGTTCCAGGGGCACAGTTCTAGCGCACAGTCGCGACAAGCTCGGACACCTCTGGATGAGAGATACATCAACATGCCCATGTACAAATTGACCACTGGGCCATCGAACTGCATCGCACGTCTGATCAATGCGACGGGGCCCACGCGGTCGTAGAATCCTCGAGGTCGAGGTAGAATGCGCCATCTACTGGTCTTTTGAGCTTCGCAAGTGTCTCGTCGGTCGACATGGATAAGACCGCTGCTCTTCTGAATGCCGATGAGCCTTAGACTGCAGCATCTCATTAGCCGGATTGTTCCGCGCGCCAAGCTTGCCGATCTGCTTCCGCCATCTCGCCCCAAAGTCGCACAGGAATGGCATGAATCCAATGGGTCGTTCTTTCTCCTGCTGCTTTTGATCCTGCTCCGACTAGAAGACGGCACCACAGGTGATCGATCTGGCGCGACAAGAAGAGAGTCCTTTCACGGGAGTTGACGGCGGGGGCCAGGCTACGCCAGGCGCCCGCGGGCAAGGCTCGCTACGCTGCGTGCACATGTCCGCGCAAATGTTGCCCGTCGACCCCTCGCCGTCGGTCGGCAAGTCCTCCTCGTCGCAAACATCGTTCCCCGAGAAATGCTTTGCACGCGGAGGGCCCCCCCAGCAGAAATATCAGACACGGTCTCGTTGACGCAGTCGACCTCGCAGTCGATACAGGCAGACTTCCGAGAGGCAGCCCTGGCTGAAACGCTTGGTCCTCGAAGAAAGGCTGCTCCGAGTGGGGGATTGCCTTGCTCACTGGCAGCACTGGCAACCCTAGGCTTGCCCCCCCTTCGCAACATGCCCTGGTCGCACGAGGAAGGCGTCGCCGTCTAGGTAGCTCTGGTCGGCGATGACACCCTGACCCACTGCTTCCCGAAGAAGCCGCTGGCGCCAACTGTCGCGTAGCCGTGGTAGATTTGGCCTGGGCCATGATCTTCGCGAACTGCGCGAGGTAGGTATGGACCTGTTCTGCATTCGAGGTCATACTGATCGGCCGGCCAGCGCGACCTCGGGCTCTGTAGGCGTCTGTCCTGGCTCTCCAGATGGTGATGCTACACCTGCTGATGCTGGTCCTGTGCCTGCTGCTGCATTGGCATCCACGTCTTCGCTGGCGTCGCCCCTGCGCCGCTCGGATGCCTTCGCAGTGGTCTGGAGCGTCTTGGCCGCGTCGAACGCGTTCTTCGCTTTCTGGACCGCCTCCTTCTTCTCGGTGGTGAACTTCTTGGCTGTCTGGCTTTCTGACACTCATGCTGGATGATATGGTACTGGTCCTTCTGCGTTTGGTCCAGCGTGTCCAGTTCTTCAGGTGATAAGGCTGGGAGATACGATTCAGCTTTGTCAGGTTTCTCTTCAGCATGGTCAACTTACCCTTCGCCATCGCCCACTTCAGCTCTTGCTTCATGACTCGACGTGCTTCTGCCAGATCTGCCACATTTTCGGTGACCTTGCGGAGAACGTCGTTACGGTACTCGGTGGACCTATTGAGCTGCTTGGCCAGCTTGTCCTGCTGCTCTTGCACACGATTGAGTACAGCCACTGCCTACTGTAGCTTCTGTCCAAAAAAAGTGTTGCTGGTTCTGGTGGTACACTGGGCACTGCTGCTGGACACGCTGCTACGATCTTGTCCATCTTGGCCTGACAGGACCGGCCCTCGGCGTCGATGTGCTGCAGTAGCTCCACCATGGGGCCGACGTCGCGTCCATCTGGCTGTTCTCCGTCATCATTGTAGCCCTCGGGATCTTCCGGCTTCCATTCATGCCCACAGGTCTTACAATGGGTCCATCCTGGCTTCCCAGCACGGTTGCACTAGAAGGACACGTCGGGCAGACGAAGTATTGCGCACCTTTTGCCGGCGGAGGCCATGCGGCGCCATGAGGATCCCCACGGCGCTTGCGCATCTTGCCCATGCCAGCCTTGGCCTCTGGTCATGTACGGGGGCAGCAGGAATTTTTGCAGCGGCACGTTCTGGCCGCCCCCCTCACGCCGCGAGCCGACGTACAGCGAGCCCCCGCCCGCCGCCGCTGATGGTGCGCGCCCTGCTGCCTCGGCTCACGCGTGGCCCCTGGGGGCCAGCTGGAGCCGAAATGAGGAGGGGGAGGGGATGGAGGAGGTGGAGTAGGAGGAATACATAGCAGGAGGAGGGAGGTGGAGGAGGACAGGCAGCAGGAGCACGGGGAAGAGGAAGAAGGGGCACCTACGCAACGACCTCTGTGCCTGGCCAAGGCCAAACCGGGCCCTAGCATGGTCTGGACGCCCTCCTGGCCATGGCCAGGACTGCACGCCATACTAGGGCCCAGCATGGCCCTGGCCAGGCACCATGGTGGTGTATAGATGCCCTCTCCCAGACATCAGACGACACGATTGTGTGCAGTTCAGGGCCCATAGCTCCAGAACATCTTCCCGGGTGTAGTTGTTCGTCCCCGATCCGACGTTGATGATCCCCGATCCGACGGCCAGGTATCGGGCACCAAAGGCCGAAACCGAGAAAACAAACACCGGGACATATAGAACACACACGCACACACACAAACACACACACACACACAAAAAAAAACATTGTCGGAGACCTGCGCTACGGAGAGGAGAATACAAGAAGGCGAACAATCGTGTGGCTTGCACAGCCGTGCGGCTTTTGGGGGGTCCCAAAATGGTGTGGTGACAGACCGCGCGGTGATCTCGCCATCCCGAAGGACCTCACCGCACGGCCTGCTGCCGCAAGGCTGTGAGACCCCTGAAGGCCCCAGCCGCCCGAGCCGTCCTCGGAGAACGACCCAGATCCCAAAACGGTGCGGCGACGCCGAAACCCCACCGACTCACCACACGGTTTGGTCACCGCGCTGTTTGGGGGCCCCCGATGCACGCACGGCCGTGCGGCGCGGAATACTGCCCCGGCGAGCCCAGAGCGCTGCACGGCCCAACCTGACCTGCAAAAGGCGGGGGCCCGCGGGGGCACGCGGCGTAACTGAAAAACGCCTCACGCTCACGTGTCCCAGCCGAGGTACGCCTGGTCCCTCCTCCTTCTCCTCCTCCACCTACTCCTCCTCCTTCTCCTCCTCCTTATCCTCCTCCCCTCATCCTTCTACACATTATATAATCCTCCTCCTTCGCCACCTCCACCTCCTCCTCTTCCTCCTCCTCCTCCACCTCCTTCCTCTCCTCCTCCTCCTCTCCTCCTCCTCCTCCTCCTCCTCCTCCTCCTCTTCCTCCTCCTCCTCCTCTCCTCCTTTTCCTCATCCTCGTCCTCCTCCTCCTCCTCCTCCTCCTTTTCCTCCTCCTCGTCCTCCTCCTCCTCTCCTCCTCCTCCTCCTCCTCCTCCTCCAATCATCATCATCATCATCATCATCATCATCATCATCATCATCATCATCATCATCAATCATCATCATCATCATCATCATCATCATCATCATCATCATCATCATAGTCATCATCATCATCAGCAGCAGCAGCATCATCATCAGCATCATCATCAGCCATCATCATCATCATCATCATCATCATCATCATCATCATCATCATCATCATCATCATCATCATCATAATCATCGGCATCATCAGCAGCATCATCAGCAGCAGCATTATCATCAGCATCGTCATAACCATCATCATCAGCATCATCAGTATCATCATCAGCAGCATCATCAGCAGCATCATTAGCAGCATCATCAGTACTATCAGAATCATCATCATCATCAGCAGCAGCATCATAATCATCATCATCATCCCCAGGATCATCAACAGCATCATCATCATAAGCAGCGTAGCATCATCACCATCATCAGCAGCATCAGCATCAGCATCATGTTCAGCATCATCATCACCATCATCATAAGCAGCATCCCCATCATCATCAGCATCAGCAGCAGCAGCAGCATCACCATCAGCATCATCAGCATTAACAACATGATCATGATCATCATGATCATCATCGTCGTCATCATCAGCATCATCACCATCATCATCAGCATCACAATGATCAGCATCATCATCAACATCAACATCAGCATCATCATAAGCATCATCATCAGCATCATCACCATCACTGGTATCAGCATCACCATCAGCACCGTCATAAACATCAGTATCAGCATCACCATCATCATCATCATCATCAGCATCATCGTCGTCATCTCCATGGTCATCATCATCACCACTACCACCACCATCATCACCATAATCGTCATCGCCGTCATCAGCATCATCACCACCGTCATCATCATCACCACTACCACCACCATCATCACCATAATCGTCATCGCCGTCATCAGCATCATCACCACCATCATCATCATCAGCAGCAGCATCATTATCATCACCATACTCGCCATTATCATCATCAGCAGCAGCATCAGCAGCAGCATCAGCATCAGTATCATCATCGTTAGCATTAGCAGCATAATCATCAGCAGAAACAGCATCGACATCATCACCATCGCCATCATCATCTACATCATCAGCATCGTCAGAACCATCAGCATCATCGTCACCATCATCAGCAGCATCCTCAGCAGCATCAGCATCGACCTTTTCCTCCTCTTCCTCCTCCTTCTCCTCCTCCTTTCCCCCTCCTGCTCCTTCTCCTCCTCCTTCATATGTCCTCCTTCCTCCTTCTGCCTTCCGCATTCCTCATGTCTCCGTCTTCCTTCCTCCGTCCTTCCTCCTTCCTCCTTCCTCCGTCCTTCCTCTTTCCTCCTTCCTCATCCTTATCCTCCTGCCTCCACCTTCCTTCCCCTCATCGTCATTTCCCTCCTGTACGGCGGTTCCGTAGCCAGTTTGGCTCAAGATGCCTGCAGTCAGGAAGCTCCACGCCTCCGTGCTTGCAAGGATACCGCTTGTCCGCGGCCAGACCACCGTTGATATCCCGCCAGAGTTGTGCCCTGCGCGGCGAGTATCACTTGTGTGAGCTCCTATAGGAGCAGCCTGGTCAGATGGCAAGCTCCAGAGACAAGGAGCGCAAGCGGTGGACCTGAAAGACGTGCACCCGTGAGCGCACAGGGAAGGTGTGGGTCAACAGTGCGGAGCGGCTCTCCTGCTCTATGTGTGGCCTCCTCAAGTCGACGTGCGTCGGCGGCCACGTGGAGCCCGCGGCCCCGTCTAAGCGTGTGAAGCCTGACGAGGGCGGGGCAGCGCAGAACAGAACGTTCACCGTCGATCCTTGGAGCAAGGAGGCCAAGGAGCTCGAGATGCTTCGCAAGAAGGTCGAGCGCCTGGAAGCTGTCCGAACCCCGTCGCAAGTGCGCCCCGGGGCTGCCGCGCCAGGCCGTCGTGGACGTCGAGGTGCCCAGGGGGGAGCCCGCGGACGACTTCGCGCGGCAGCGCCTCCAGGAGCCTGACAAGGAGCTCGTCGCCGTGTCCAAGCACAGCGGGCCCGCATGGCCGGCGTGCAGGCAGGAATTCGAGGAGCGCGAGCGACTCCGCGTCGAGCTGCTGGAGTCCAGGCCGATCCGTGCCAGAGTGCGCTCGGTGGCGGCTCGCCTCGAAGCAGCGGAGAGGCAGCTTCTCGAGGCCAAAGAGAGCCTCGGGGAAGGAGCGAGAGGGATTGGCGGCCCTCCTCGGGAAGATCGGGGGGGCTGAAACCGCCATCCAGGAGCAAGAGCAGAGCATCAAGGGAGCATCAAGGCCATTGCGAAGCAGAGGAGTCAGCTGGCCCAGCAAGCAGCTGGCGAGCAGGCCCCTCAGCCCAGGGCGGCGGTCGGCCACGACGCGTCGAAGCTCGGCGAGGTCCTTCAGCGCTGCGGGCTTGGCGACCAGGCCGGCACGGTCGCCCAGGCCATCATTCAGGACCTCCCCAACATCGTGTCCAACAACACGCTGGCACCCGTGGGCGCGGAGGCGGCCTGGTTTCTGCGGCCCCGCTCCAGGCGGCTGCCAAGGCTCCCGCTGCACGGGCCGCTGCAGGCCCCGTGCCGCCGCGCGAGCCAGCGGAGCCAGCGGCAGCCCGAGCGGGTCTGCCAGGCTGGCGGCGGGATCAGGGCACGATCGAGTGCTTGTCCAAAGCCGAGTTGCGCCCGCTCATGGCTACGGTGGCGCCATCGGCCAGCATCCCTCTCGAGGGCGCGGAGCTGCGAGAGACGGGCCAGGCACATGTTCCGCGTGGCCAGCCTGCCGAGGCCTGCTGCGAGTGGTGATCAGCCTTAGTCAAACGATGGTGGTCACCTCTGCAGCCCCGGCGGCGACTGGCCCCCACGCGGGCAGAGGGGGGGCGGCGGCCTGGGCCACCACCACGCCAGTCATGCACTACTTCCTGGTTGTCGGCCGTGGCTGGCAGGCCGGAGGCCGAGCCGGACGTTCCAGGCCTCGCCGCCGCGCCAAGCGCCCTGCCGAGCCCGGCCACGGCGGCGGCGGCGCGCCAGGCGGCCTGGCTCGGACGCCGGGGGCGCCCCCAGCGGCGCCGGCAGCAATTCGGGGCGCACCGCCAGGGGCGCCCAGAATCCCAGGAGGGACCCCGGACCCCCAGCGGCCGAGCCCGCGCGCCCGGCGGCCTCCCCAGCGGCCCCTGCGGCGCGCCCAGCGCGGGCCCAGGCGGCCGCGGCGGGCCCTCGCTAGTCGCGCTGCAGCTCAACGAGCTGGCGCCAGTGGTTCAGCGCTCCTCGGCTGATGCGCGGACCGTTGGCACCATCAACGCTGACACCTGGGCCGGGGCCAGAGCAGTCGGTGGGCGGCTGAAGTCGCGAAGGAGGCGGCCCGACATCCTGTTCGTCCAAGAGACCAGGTGCTTCGACGATGAGAGGGTCGGTTCTGCCCACCAGTGGCGCGCCAGGCAGGGCATGCAGTTGGCCCGGGGGGCCTGTCCAGCGCAAGGGTCCAGGGAGGTTGGAGGTATCTGGCGGCGCGGGCATCGCGGTGTCCAACTGCATCGGCGTCGGCCAGGCCGCTAGCGCCGACGAGCACTGGACCCACCGCGTCATCATGCGGCGTGCGCACTTCGGTGGCGGCGCCACGTTGCTCCTGGTATCTCTGTATCTGGTCACGTCTATTGGCTTGGAGGGTGAGAACGTGGACCTGCTGGAGTACGTGGGCGGCCTCTCAGGGCAGTTCGGCGAGCCGTTCAGGACAGGGGCCGACGGGAACGTCGAGCCTGAGGCGCTCCTGGCGCCCCGCTAGGTTGATCAGGTCGGGGGCGTGCTGCAGGCGTCGGACATGCGGACCTCGGGCCGTCGAAGCACGACTCCTTCGTGGTCTCGTCGACGCTCGCGCACAGGGCTGAGGCGCCACAAGCCATGTCGGACACACCTGCCGGCACGCACTGTTGCGTCGGCCTGCGCCTCCAGAACTTCTGGACGGCCCCTACGGTGTGGGTCGAGGGCCCGCGCAGAGCCTTCAGCCTCTCCAAGACGAAGGACGCGATCCTGAAGCTGCAGGTGCCCGTGGAGGCGTTGGAGGCCGAGCTGGCTGAGCTGTCGCAGCCGCTGGATGAGTTGGCGCTGGTTTTCCGCAGCTGGTTTGGCCTAGCGGAGCGGCACATGGTGGAGAAGCTGGAGGTGGAGTCGGCCAGTGTTCGGCACTACCTCGGCCGTGGCAAGGGCACCACGGCGGTCCTCGAGCCGCTCTGCGTTTTCCAGCAGGCCAAGCAGCGGAAGCTCGACACCTCCAGCACGGAGGCTCGGGCTGGATTCCCACGCTGCTGGCGTGCCCTGTGGCGCCAGGGCAAGGCAAGGCAAAGGCAGTCTCTCAACGACCAGCTGGTGCGTTGGGTCGAGGCGCTGGTCTTGCAGCCAGCGGCGTCTGACCAGCCGGCCTCGGCCAACACCGCAAGGGCTCCCTGGCTCGGGCTGGCCAGAAGGAACAGCCCGCTGGCCGGCTGGTCTGACGGGGCGCCGGAGACGGAGGCGGCGATGCGGCGTCGAGCGGACGCTGTCCAGCGCGCCGAGGACTGGAGGTCCTTCTGCGCGGAGTCGCTGAATGGGTCAGGCCGAGTGGCACATCGCCTCACCAAGGAGGAGGAGGAGGAGGAGGAGGAGGAGGAGGGAGGAGGAGGAGGAGGAGGAGGAGGAGGGAGGAGGA